GCTGAAGGCTTTCCCACACGTTTCACATCTGTTGGGCTTCTCCCCCCGTGTGCACTCTCTGGTGAGTGTGAAGCTGTAAGCTCCGACTGAAGCACTTCCCACAGACATCGCAGGGAAATGCCGTCTCGCCTGTATTGACCCGCTGGTGGCTTCGGAAGTTCGAGACCGAGCTGAAGCCCTTCCCACACTCTTCACATTTATATGGCTTCTCTCCTGTGTGGATTCTTTTGTGGGTCTGGAGGCGCGACCACCTCAAGAAGCCCTTCCTCCACACCTCACACTTGTAAGGTTTCTCCTCAGTGTGCACCCAGCAGTGGATGGTGAGATACGTGCTGCAGTTGAAGCCCTTCACACGGTGGTCACACCGGAAGGGCTTCTCCCCGGTGTGCACACTCTTATGAGCCTGAAGACCCGAGCCTTGACTGAAGCCCTTCCCACACATGTCGCAGTGAAACGGCTTCTCGCCTGTATGAACCCTGCTGGTGGCTGTGAAGTCTGAATCTGAATCTGAACCACTTCCCACACATGTGGCATTTGTACGGTTTCTCTCCAGTGTGGACTCTCTGGTGGGTGTATAGATTTGAGCTAAACCTGAACTATTTGCCACAGTCTCCACACTTATAGGGCTTCTCTCCTGTGTGAATTCTCTGGTGGGCATGGAGGATTGACCACTGTGTAAAGGCCTTCCCACAGCTGTCACACTGGTATGGTTTCTTCCCCCGTGTGCACTCTCCGGTGAGTCTGAAGAGCTGAGCTCTGACGGAAAGCCTTGCCACACTCCTGACGACACCGGTAGCGCTTAGTTCCTGGATGAACACTTTGTTGAATGGGGACACTGGAGATGTGCTTGGAGACCTCGTGTGTTCTATGTTTGAGGGACTTTTTTTCTACAAGGACCTGCTGATGGAGTTCATGGTTGGGTCTGTCAGTGAAGGCTTCTTGGCCCTCGCTGTACTGGTAGGCCTTCCTATCTGTGCGAACATGATGTCAGGTGCCAGGTGACACAGGAAAAATGGCTTTACCACAGTCACTGCTGCCGTGGGCTTTGTCTCCTTTATGCAGTGTATTGTTATCTTGGGGAAATGCAATTCATTCTGTCAACGCCTGGAGCCAAGAGCCATGGCTTGGTTTTCACTGGAGTCTGAAGACAGTGTTTCTGATAGTTCTGTCTCTTGATAAGATGTTTTTTACTCCGAGAACTCTGAACTCTCTCAGACAGAAATTTCTGACTTTCAGTAATGCTGGAATGGTCATTTGTGAGACCCTCAAGATAGCCATTGTCCTTGGAGGCCCCGAGAGGCTCTTCTGCTCCCCTGTGGCAGGAGAAATGGGAAACCTTTCCTTGAGTGTTGATGACATCTTCTGGAGCTCTGGCCGGTTTGCTGGCATCATGGCTTGTCATGTGCCAACAGGGAAGCTCCCCCAGTGAAAGGCACCTTATTCCTGTTGTATGAAGTGTCTCCATCTTGTTTGAAACTTGGCCTCCTGAAAGATAGAAGGTGTAATGTTTGAATATGTTTGGCCCATGGGAAGTGGCACTATTAGGAGGTATGGCCTTGTTGGAAAGGTGTGCCCTTGCTGGAGGAAGTGTGTCACTGTGTAGGCGGGCTTTGAGGGCTCCTTGAGCCAAGCTCTGCCCACTGTGAGAGAGACCTCCTCCTGGTTGCCTGCCAAGGATGGTCTCCTTCTGAATGCCTTTGGATCAAAATGTAGAATGAGCTCCCAGCTCCCATGTCTGCCTGCAAGCTGCCATGTTTCCCGTCATGATGACATTGGACTGAACCTCTGGAACTGTAAGCCAGCCCCAACTAAATGTTGTTCTTATAAGAGTTGCCTTGGTCATGGTGTCTGTTCACAGTGGTAAAACCCTAACTAAGACACACCTTCTGCTTAGGGCTAGAAATACCCCTACATAAATGGAGTAACGCCCTATGAAATGTGTGGACCCCCCTACCATCCTCACAAAGCTCAGAGCTGACCTTTTAGCTGCAACCTCTAATCATGACGTTAAGTCACTCCAGGTACTCCAAAGCGTCCAAACCTGTATAAGCGTGGAGACGCTTACACACCTACCCCCACCCCACCTGTCAGCCTTCATTGGTTCCAGCCTGGAGATCTGATCCTGATCAAGAAACATCAAAAAGAGAGTTTGGGATTGTGCTGGAGGGTATCACACTGTGATCCTGAGCACCACAGCAGCTAGGATGGTGAATGGGACCTGAGCTTGGATTCATTATTCTCATTGAAATTTGCCCTTTGAAAGCACCAGAACCCAGAACAGCTATGGCTCATCAGCCAGCACCCAGGAGACCCAAACCAGGGACATACAGGCCAAGACTTGGTTATGAAGGTTATCAGATACCAGGCAGGGCAATTATTGACTTCTCTCAGTCTGAATATTACAAGTCCTCTACACTAATCACCCACCCAAAACAAGGGTTGAACTCTCCGGTACAGGTTGTTGGCCCCAAGACATTAAGGAAAATATTATACTCAAATCCTCTTCCTCCTTACGGAGACTGGAAAGTGGGACTCATTTGGGCATCCAGACCTTACCTATGGGAATCTGACTCAGGGACAGAATTTTCTATCCAGAAGCTGGAAAAACCTAAGACCCTTTTCCCTATTGGCCCCCTAGTTAAAGGGTTGAAAACTGGACCCAGGATACTTACGCTCTCTGGTCTTGCTACTGCACTTTCTGATGGTCAGGGCAAAGACCCACCCTTTGAGATTTCTAAATCACCTTTGCTTCGTGAGACTTAGCTGGTAGACACTGTACAGTCCACTTTTAATCAACGAAACAAGGCCAAATATGACTAAAGATTGTTGCTTTTTTTTCTGGACCCACAACTCCCTTGGAACGCGAGGGTGGTACTTACACATTTCCACCGGCCTCACGCTAGTTAAAATAGCTTGGACCGTTCTCATTCTGGGAAATGTAGTCCCAGAAAAAGCACCAGTGCTTTGAGCTCCCGCTGAGGCATTCTGGGAATTGTAGTTCTGGAGCCATTAACAGCCGAGTTTGCTTCAGCTCCAGAAGGCTAGGCTGCTTGGCTGTGCTTCCACTGAGGTGAGAGCTTGGAGCATCCCGCAGGCCTTCTGTGCGCTGTACCCCGGTGTGTCCTTTCAGGGACGAGTCTGCATTCCTGGGAGAAGCGGGGCAGCGGTGGCGGCGGCCGGTCCTCTCTAACTAGGCTCTGTCTGAGGCCATACTGCCCGGATTCCTGGACCCTTCCCAGTGCTGTGGAGCCCCGGGAGAGTCTAGCTTCCCACGGGAATCTGTCAGAGGACCTGTGATGACAGATGGCCAGTGTCCTGAAGCCTTAAGTAGCAACTCTGGCTCTTATGTGATTTTTTTTCATTTATTTATTTAAGAGGGGAGGGGCGTGGCACAGCTTATGTATGGAGGTCAGAAGACAACTTGTGGGAGTCAGGTCTCTCCTTGCACCATGTGGTATTCTTCAGGGACTCAAACTCATCCCATCAGGCTCACCTCTACCCGCTAAGCTATCTTGCAGGGCCAAACTCCCCTTTGCTTTGAAAGGGCTTGGATTCCTATTGAACATTATCTTCATGAATGTGGGAAAAGAGACTGGAGGCTCTTACAGATCAATAATGCTTGCTAATAATTAAGCCTTTGAGAGCAGGACATAGAGGGATAATTTCACTCCACATATGGAAACAATAATAGGTAAGATAGCTGTCACAACTGACAGACCCTTGTGATAGTGGTGCTCAGTCACAACGAGCATTCATCAGAGCTCAGGGCTTTTAAGCATTTGCTTTTCTGGGAAACCCATCACCACAGGCAGCTTTGTGAAGCTAAGAGTGCCCAGCACCCCTGAAGCTGCCGGAAATAAAGAACGTGGTGAGTGAGTCTGGTAACCTGAAGGCTCACACCACGGATTAGCAGGAAGTAGGGAGAAAAGCCTGGTCAGCGCCCACAGCCCTTGGGGCTGATGGAGAAGCTGAGGAAGCCTTGTGGCCCGACTGTCCTAGCAATGTTCTCACGAAGCCCTTCCTCCCCCAGCTTGCTTCCCAGAGCCCTGCCTTGTCTCAAAGAGAAGAGAACAATGACCAAGTTACAGGTAAGTCGGCTTGCTTCCACCATTCCCCACAGAGCTAGGGACTGGAAACAGGGCCCCTGCATGCTGGGCAAGCGCTCGTTCTGCAGCCGAGCCTCTCTGAACTGCGTGGAGTAAGAGGGGGAGTTGCTGAGAAGAAAGGTCTGGAAGGAGGAGGGATAAGAGAGGACAGTGGGGACACGTGCTCAAAGTGCACTGCACACGGGAAAATGTAAAAGGATGAATAAAATATATTGAATTAGAGAAAGTGGGCTGGAGAGGTGGCTCAGTAGTGAAGGGCACTGGCTCAGTTTGTTCCCGGGGAGTAGATGCTTATTTTGCTAACAACAGTGGTGATGTTCCTAGCACCCACACCTGATAGCTTACAACCGTCTGTAACTCTAACTCCAGGGGATCTAGCGCCCTCTTCTGGTCTCCCAGGGCACCTGCACACGTGTACACAGACACAGAGCATGGACATAGATTTTAAAAAAATTAAATTCACTTACATTTTAAAAGTGACATCATTTTCCACAGTTTGCCTAATTTTATTTTACAATTAAGTGTGAGTTCTCCATACTCATGTTTATGATTTTTTTTTTCATTTAAAACTTGCATTATTGTAAGCAGCACACATGCATGGTCTCTGTATTAGGTCCTGCCTTCAGGGTCCAGCCCGGCTTGAGTTCCCGTCCTGACTTCCTTCAGTAATGAACAGGAATATAGAGGTGAAAGCCTAATAAACTCTTTCTCTCCAACCTATCTTTTTGTTCATGGTGACTTGTCCCAGCAATAGAAACCCTAAGACAACAGGCTCGGTGTAAACAGATGCTCAGGTCCTAGTGAATCAGGAATGAAACTGAGGTGTCATGTGTTTGCCATCACAGGAGGAAGTGACATTCAGGGATGTGGCTGTGGTCTTTAGTAAGGAGGAACTGAGGTTGCTGGACGCTGCCCAGTTGAAGCTGTACCACGATGTGATGCTGGAGAACTTCAGGAACCTCCTGGCTGTGGGTGAGGATGATCCCCTGTGTCCCTGGCAATGTCAGAAGCTCACATCCCGTGTCTGTTGCACTCCACTGCTTTCCTTTTACGTTTATTTAGTTTGTTCTTTTTTAATGTATATTTGAATGTGTTGTCTGTCTGTATGTCTGTGCACCACATTCATGAGTAGTGTTTACAGAAGCATGAGGAGGGCACTAGAGATCCTGGAACTAGCATAACAGATGGTTTTGAGCCAGCATATGGGTGCTGCAAACCCAATCTGGGTCCTCTGGAAGAGCAGCCAGTGCTTTGAATCAGTGAACTGTCTCCTCAACCTCCAGTTTATTTTTTTTTAAAACACATACATGCTGTGCTTTAAATAAAAGTTTTAAACATTCTTTTCGGAGTGTGAGTATACGTGTGTGTGTGTGTGTGTGTGTGTGTTAATCAATGCCATGACCATAGCAACTCTTATAAAGGAAAGCATTTAATTGAACATGTTTGCTGTTCCTGCGGTTTAGTCTGTTATTATCGTGGTGGGGAGCATAGCAGCATCCAGGCCAGCATGGAAGCAGAGAGTTGTTCATTCAGATCTGCAGGAAGCAGGAAGAAAGAGACACTCGGCCTGGCATGAGTATTTGAAATGCCAAAGATCACCCACTCTGATAGTTCCTCTACCTCCAGTTCCCTGTCAAGCTACTCCCTATGGATCAAGCATTGAAACACATGAGTGTGTACAGGCCATACCTATTCAAACCACCAGACCCCACTCCCTGGCCCCATAGGCTCAAAGCCATAGCAGAATGCAAAGTGCATTCAGTCTAACCACAAAAGTCTCCATATCACAGTCCAAATCCCATTTAAAAGACCGGAGTTCAATGTCTCCTCTGAGACTCATGCAATCTCTTAACTGTAACCCTCTATAAAATCAAAATCAAAAAACAGATCACATGATCCAGCATACAGTGGCACAGACTATACCATTCTACAGGGGAGGAGAGGGAGCTTAGTGAGGAAATACTGAACAAAACAGAACAGAAACCGTGAGAGCAAACTCCAAACTCTGCAGCTCCATGGCTGATGTCACAGCGCCCTGCAGCTCCCCAACTCCTTTCAGCTCCGTTGACTGGAACACACTCCTTTCCCTTGGGCTGGTCCCACTCCCTGTCAGCAGCTTTGCTGGACAGGTGTCCCAATCCTCTGCACCTCTAACCGCTTGGGGTCTCCAAGGCAATCCAGTCTTCACCTTCCCAGCCTCACACAGTGCAGGGACAGCCCTCCCACACGCCTGCCCTCCGAGGCTTTCCTTAGCTGCAGGGAGTTTCCACAACCTCTTTCCTGTGTCCTTGACTCAGACAGGTAAGTACAGCCACCAAACACCCCAATACTGACTGCTTCTGCTCTTGTGTAGGGCGCTTCCTACCCTCCAACTCCGAAGAGTTCCATTGTATCCCTCCCTGCCTCAGACCACTGGCCTCCCTTTTGCTCAGTAAAATCAAGTTGTTTTCTGTCAGGGTATACCTATGTAGCCTAGGCTTGCCCAGATATTTGGGATCCTTCCGCCTCAGCTTCTGAAGCACTAGGGCGACAGGCTTCATCCCCTGTGCCTGGCTGGACCTTGGTTTTCCTGGGTTCTCAGACGCCAGCTCTGACGATCTCCATCTATTTTCCTGATCCGTTCTCTGTCCCAGCTGCCCCTTCTCTCTGCCCAGAATACTCTTCCCTGTTGGAGCATTGTGACCCGCTGCCCCCCCCATGTGTGTGTGAGCATGCGTGCATGTGTGTGTGTACATGCGCGTATGTGTGTGCACATGCATGTTCGTGTGTGTGGTGTGTGTGTGTGTGTGCTCAGCAGTCCTCACAGGCCCCGCTCTGAGGCTCTGTTTTACATGTGTCTTCTGCTCACTCTTCATATGCTGTACTTGCCTCTGCTGGTGTCTGAGCACCCTCAGATGTGTTCCCACTGATACTTTTAGTTGTAGTGACACACACCAAAATCCCAAGTGTCTGCAGGCTGTGAGTCAGGGCTCCGTGAAGCTGTGCCCCTTCTGCAGCTGCATCCACATCCATCCCTGTAAAGACTTCTGTTTCCCTCACAAGAGCATACCTCTCCTGGCCTGTGATTCCATTCCTCTGCTTCTTTTTCCCACTGACACTAACCATTCCCGGTGTGTCAAGCACACCCCTGAGTTGCGTCTGGGAACACGGGATATTCTTCTTCGCTCGTTTCTGTTTTCAGCTTCAGAAGTTGTCCATCTCACCTTTGTCATTTCTCGTCCTGGTAATTTTTTTCCTCTGGTCATCTTCTAGTTTCTTTGGGGGTCCTGTCAGATACTGTTGTGATTTTGTTATTCCTTCGGGACCTATGTTGCCTTCAGTAGGCAGATGAGATTGACCTCTCTTTTTTTTTTTCCCTTTCCCCCGCTTCTTTGTGAGCCTGGTGATCTTAGATTGTAGAGCAGGTATTTGACAGAAACCTACTCATCCCTGCCCCTGCATTTCTGCACCCCCAAGCCATTCCCTCATCAGCAGTGTGTTTTGAGTCTTGCCGTCTTTAATGCTTTCTGTCTCTTCTCGTAGTTTCTAAGCAAACTTGTGTTGAAGTTCTTCCGATCCCCTCCTACAAGTGTGTGCTCTCAGTGATGTCCTTGAGCTGGACATCAGCTGCAGGGCCTGTCTGAGGACCACTGTAGCAGGAGGTAGTAAAATAGAGGTGTCCAACTGGCTCCCGGCTTAGCCACCATGTTCCCGCACTAAGTACACCGGCTGGCAGTTCTAGACTTGGCCCCTAGGCCAACCCCACTGCCGCCACGGCGCTAGGCTTAGCCCCATGCAATAACCGCCATCCAAATAGTTAGATATCACAATACCCAGTAACCCAGTAAAATCAAAACTCTTAATGCTTACAGTTAACCAATCAGATTTATATGTCAACAAGTACTCAAACCCCAAGATGCCCACACAGTAATTTCAAAGCCAACTGAATAATGGTAAGATGCCAACACAGAATAGACAATTCTTCCCAGTTATCCTGACCTTTTCATATCATCTCTGTGTATGGCTAATTAAAGCCATTTTGGTTTTACGTCTGCTTCCATATTCTCTCTCTCTCTCTCTCTCCAATCATAGATTGGACAGGTAAATTCCTGCCACACCCACCACACGTCTCAGCATTGGTTTAGTGCTTTCTTTCTATTCTGTTTCCACAGCTACATACAGGCCCTGCAAGGCGGGTGTTCAGCAGAGGCTGACGAAGACCTTGAGCCTACACTGGAGCCGTCCCTCCTGGGCTCAGGGCAGATGCTCCACCATGCTCAAACGAGGCTTGCTCTTGAGTGCACACACACCTCGTTGTAGCTCATTGTTTCCCAGAGCTCTCCGACATCCATTCTTGATGCTGCTCTCTAGTTAATGTTTCCAGAGAGAAATGAGGATACGTGCCTCCAGTGTCCCCATCCTTACTGATACCACCTTTGGTTCTGTATTTTTTCAGGAAGCCAGAGTTCAAACAAGAGAGAGACTCTTCATGTGACAGGAGTAAGGTGCCTTTCCCTGGGGAGGCGTCCATGCTGTCAAATGACAAGCCATGATGTCAACAAACTGGCCAGAACTGTAGAAGGCATAACAAGGCAATCCCACTTCCTAGAGCAATGCCACCGGAGAGCAGGACAGTCTCCCTGGGCCTCTGAAAAGGATGGCTCTCTTGAGAGTCTCACAAGCAACCATTCCAGTATTACTGAAAATCAAGAATTTCCGTCTGAGAGAGCTCCGAGTTCTTCAAGTAAAACACATCTTAGGGAGAGACGTGACCATGGGAAACACTGTCCTCAGACTCTGGTGAAAACTAAGTCTCAGCTGTTGGCTCTGGGTGTTGACATTCTGAGTTTCATTTCCCATCAAGATAACAATGTATTGCGTAAAAGAGGCAAAGTCCACCGCAGCGGTGACTGTGATGAAGTCATTGATCCTGTGTCCTCCCTCACCCAGTCTCCTATTTACACGGAACAGAAGGCCTACCAGTGCAGCAAGGGCCAAGAAGCCTTCACTGACTGCTCCAGTCAGGAGAGTCATCAGCAGGCCCTCTTAAGAAACAAGTCCCCTGTACATAGTACACACAAGGATACCAGTCATAGCTCCAGTGTCACCATTCAACAAAGTGTTCATCCAAGAAGAAAGCGCTACTCATGTCGCCAGTGTGGCAAGGCTTTCCATCAAAGGTCAGCTCTTCAGACTCACCAGACTGTGCACACTAGGGAGAAGCCCTACCAGTGCGACAGCTGTGGGAAGGGCTATAGCCGCCGTTCATATCTCAACGTCCACCGCCGAGTTCACACAGGAGAGAAACTTTACAAGTGCGAGGTGTGTGGGAAAGGCTTCACAAAGTGGGACCACCTCCAGATACACGGGAGAATTCACACGGGAGAGAAGCCCTATAAGTGTGGAGACTGTGGCAAACGCTTCAGCTGCAGCTGGAACCTTCACACCCACCAGAGAGTCCACACTGAGGAGAAACCATACAAGTGTGACGAGTGTGGAAAATGCTTCAGTTTGAGCTTCAACCTCCACAGCCATCAGCGGGTCCACACAGGAGAGAAGCCATATAAATGTGAAGAGTGTGGGAAGGATTTCAGTTCAGCCTCAAGCTTCCAAAGACACCAGCGGGTCCATACAGGGGAGAAGCCGTTTGTCTGCAGTGTCTGTGGAAAGGGCTTCAGTCAGAGCTCGAATTTTCAGGCCCACAAGAGAGTTCACACCAGGGAAAAACCATACAAATGTAATGTGTGTGGGAAGTGTTTTACCTGGAGCCTTCACAATCACCAGAGGGTCCACACAGGAGAGAAACCATATATGTGTGTGGAGTGTGGGAAAGGCTTCAGTCACGCTTCAAGTCTGCAGACTCATCAGAGTGTCCACACAGGCAAGAAACCATTCAAATGCAAGGTGTGCCAGAAGCGATTCAGTCAGTCCTCAATCCTCCAGGACCACGAGAGGGTGCACACTGGGGAGAAGCCTTACAAATGTGACACGTGTGGAAAAGCCTTCAGCCAGAGGTCTGGTCTCCTAGTCCATAGGAGAATTCACACTGGAGAGAAGCCATTCAAGTGTGAAAAGTGTGGGAAGGAATTCAGATGGAACTCAGGGCTTAGTTCCCACCTGAGGCTCCACACAGGAGAGAAATCTACACGTGTCAGCAGTGTGAGAAGGACTTCACACAGGCCTCACACTTCCACACACATCTGAAAATCCACACCAGGGAGAGAACCTAAATCTGCAACATGAGGTGTAAGGGCTTCAGTCAGAGATCACATCTAATCTACCCCCAGGGGGTCCACACTGCAGCAGGCGGCTACACTGCAGGGAACCCCTAGGTTTGTTCTGCAGTCAGGTGGGCTCTATGCTGCTGGTTGTTAAAGGCTCACCAAACCCAGAGGTTTCAGGAGATACTTTATTTTGGTATTTTGCCCTCAACTCATTCTCCTATCCAGCTCATTATGAAAAAGGAAGATAGTGGTTGAGAATGGACCTTCTTAGCGCACACATAAAAACACTAGAGGCATATGTAGCGAAGGATTCTGATTTAATTATAAAAGGAAGAATTGTCAATTGTCAGGAATAAAACCAACAGAAAATCATAGTGATTCAAACTAATGCTGAGATTGTTTCATTATGGGTAACCAATAAAAATTAGCCAAGAGCTTGTATCAACTATATGGGAGAAATTATCAATAAACATCCTAAAAGCAAGTGACATCAGTTTCTACAAAGGTCTAATTCGATTCTCCCCCATATAATAAAAAGAACAGTTCCTGAAATGCTTACATTTTATACTAATGCACATAAGATGGGAATGGCTGGTTAGAACATACACTTCAGTTCAAAAATCAGAGCTGTACGCCATTCTCATGGTATTAGATTTTCCTGAAACTCTGATTATAGTTACTGACTTCAAGTATACAGAAAGAGTTGTTTTGCATATAGAAACTGATGAACTTATTCAAGATGATTCAAAGTTAACTTCACTGTTTTATTAAACTACAACAATTGATCAGAAATAGAAATCATACATTGTATAGAACACATATCAGACCCCATATGTGTGTATCTGACCCTCTAGTACAAGGTCATGATGAAATTAATCAGCTATCCATAAGAAATGTACTAGACGCTTCAAAATTCAGTAAGAAAGATCATGTCAACAGCAAGAGTTTAAAAAGTGTTTTTTTTTTTCTGTCATTTGGCAACAAAGCAAGGAAATTACAAGAAATTGTCTCGCTTGTTCTTTGTATAATTAAACTCTATTACCTGTAGGAAGTAACTAAAAACGTACCCAAAGAAATGACATTTGGCAAATGGATATGTTTCACTTGGAGAGTTTGGAAAATTAAAATATGTGTTCCATAAAAGAGTCACACACTCAGGGTTTCAGCAGGTACATGCTTTAAGTTCTAAACAGCTGATTCTGCAATTGCACTTTTTTTTTTTGGAACTTATGGCAATTATGGGAATACCTGTAGAGATTGAAACTGACAATGTTCCGTCATATGTCTCTAGTAACGTGAAGGAAATTCTTGCATATTATAATATAAAACATATTGCAGGTGCTACACAATCCTGTAGGTCAAGCAATTGTAGAGAGATCTAATCACACTTTCACAGAGATGCTTAACAAACAGAAGGAGTAACAAAGACTCCCAGAGATAGATTACATAAAGCTCTATTAACTTTAAACTTTTTAAATGCTAATTTACAAAAAAACAGCGACTGAGAGACATTGGATGATAGAAAGACATGCTGGGTGGAGTCATCTTGTTTATATTAAGGATGCCCTAAATTCAGAATGGAAGACAGGAAAAATCAGGGAAGAGGTTTTGTATTTGTTTCAATGGGAGAGAACAAACTGGATTCCATCCAAATTTATGAAAATCAGAATTGACAAGAGAGACCCTCGAAGATATTGCTGCAGACATAAAGGAGTCAAGAGGACCAACAACAGGAAACACACATTCCTAATCTTTTTGCAAGGGACCAGCTCTTAGACTGGCTGAGACATGAAAACGTCTCTAGCCAGAACTTGAGATATCTTGTTGGCTACTAAATCTTCAGGACTCATCATGCCAACATTTCATATGGTATGGATGAAAATGTATTACAGTTTGGTTATTGTGGTGGTTTGAATATGTTTGGCCCTGATAGACCTGTGTGTTTGAATGCTCGGATCGTAGGGAATGGAGCTATTAGAATTAGCTGTGTTGGAGGCAATGTGTCACTGTGGGAGGTCTCCTATGCTCAGGCTCCACCCAGAGCAGAAGAGAGCTTCCTTCTGACTGTCTGTCTGTCTGCCTGCCTGCCTGCCTGCCTGTCTATGAATGACAGTGACCTTCTACTGCCTGCAGATCAAGATGTAGAATTCATAGCTCCTTCTCCAGAACATGTCTGCCTGCAGGCTGCCATGCTTACGGTCATGATGATAATGGACTGAACTTCTGAAAATGTTAGACAGCCCCAACTAAGTGTGTTCTTTATATGAGTTGTCTTAGTCATGATGTCTCTTCATAGCAGTAAAACCCAAATTAAAAGAGAGGATGGTACCAGGTGACCATGCTTTTGTTTAGAGGACTATGGGCTTTGGGAATTTGGAAAGCAGTGGAATGTTTTAAGTGGGCTTTGATGGGCCTGACAAGCATTGGAGATAGTGGTGCCAATGGTTATTTGAACTGTGTGCTCCTGACTTAAGATGTTTCTTGGAAGAAAAATTTTAGTATGTGGTCTAGAGACAGTCCTTGTGGTATTTTGATGAAGAATGTGTCTTTTTTTTTTTTTACACTTTTATGAAGAGTCTGCCTTAGGAAATCTAAAAACAACGTAGTTTAGACTTTATCATGTGGTTGACTCATATGAGCAGGTTTCTGATCAAGTGTGTCAAGCTTGGAAAGGAAAAATACAAAATGTATGTTCAAATAATAAAGAGGCACCCGGAAGTGGAGTGGAGCTGAAACCTGTGTTCAAAGATATTAAATGGAATTAAAGGAGTGGTGACCTCGGGGTAAGATCCCACCTAGCTAAATTTATTGCATATGCATTTTCAGTTGAACAAGATTTAGTTATATCATGTTAGGTGTTATTATTATTACCTGGTTATTGTTTTCATTTGAACTTTTAGTCTGGAATGAACTATAATCCATAAGTGGAGAGCACACTTGTGATCTAGAGGTTGAGGCTGGAAGGCACGCACTTTTGATCTGGATCTTTAGACATAGTGGCCATGAAAAACTTAGGTCAAGGCATGGGGGTATATACTGTTAACCCCAGCACACAGAGGCAAGCAGATAAAGAACAGATCAAGAGTTCAAGACCAACCAGGTGCAAAGCAAGTTCCAGGTAAAGAAAAACTTTAGTCCAAGCATGGTTGTACACACTTCCAGAAGTCAGGAGACCGAGGCATGCAGATCTCAGAGTTCATAGTAAATCTACAGAACAAGTTCCAGGAAAGCCATAATTAGGCAGTAATGGAAATCCTCAAAAATTGGTTAAAATGTCATAGAAGAAGGAGGCCATGTTCCAGCCCCATCAAGCAGCAGAACATAGCAGCTTTGGCTACGTGGCTCTGGCTTTGTAGTCAAGAATAGGAGGGACTACTGGGACAACTGATGCTGGTTAGCTGGAGCTAAGAAATTAGGGATGATTAAAAAGAGACACTAGCATCATTGAGGTGAAATCTAGGAAGTGTTTTCTGAGAGCACAAAGAAGATGTGCTCCAGAGACAGACATCCTGCTGGCAGTCAGACTTGGTAATGTGTAAGAATCACCCAAGTGGTACTGGATTTGAAGGCACGAAGGGGTCATGGAGAACAGCCAAGACTCTGCACTGTGAGAGGCCAGGAAAGGCCATTTGTGAAGGTGCAGCCTCGGTGGCAGTTGAAGGCCCAGGACTGAAGGGGTCGTGCAGAGAAGTCAAGGTTTGGCACCATGAAGGGATCCTGTGAGAGGTTTATGATGAAAGTGCAACCTAGTTTCAGGTGAAGACCCCAGTGTCTAGGAGATGCCAGGACCATGGATGACCAACAAGAGCAAGAGCAGTGGGTGGACTTTGAGATCTCCTCTTATTCTCAGTGCATCTCAGAGCTTCTTCCTAGCTGCTTGTGGGTGACAGTACCCTTCTTCTGCCTGGAGATCAAGATGTGGAACTCTCAACTCCTTCTCCAGCACCATTGTTGAGTTCTGGGAATCACCACACAAACTACTCAAACCCCGATCTCAGCCAAACAGGGATGGTTTATTAAATGCGCACCCCAAGACTGATCAATCTGAGATGCAGTCTAGACTTGGGAGCTAAGCTGAGTTGATAAATATTTCTTAGGGTCAGTTTTTATAGGCAAAAGCTTATGTGTAGGCACAGGAAGACATACCAAGGTGGTTATCTGTGACTCAAGCTGTTTTGACTAGCTAGACAGAACAGTTTTAACTGACCTTTATTCAGATTGGTCCTACATAGAGCTTATGTTTATAGAATTTCTTAAAATTAACAAGCTTGTGAGCATATCAGGGTATGGTGCTCAGTTTGACCCTGCTCTGAGTCAAGCTATTCTTCTATGTCAGCAACAATATGAAATGACTGGCAGGCATTGAACAAAATGGCCGAAGCTATACTAGGGAAGCAGACTTCAATATTATGTTGACCTGCATGCTGACATCACTCTGCCATGATGATAACGGAGTGAACTTCTGATGCTGTAAGGCTTCCCCAATTAAGTATTCACTTTGTAAGTGTTGCCTTGGTCATGGTGTCTTGTTTCAGCAATAAAACCAAAACCAAGACAGCTAAACAGTCCAAACTAACCTATAAAAGAGACAGATGCCTTTTACCTGCTCATACAAAAAGCAGAGAATCATATATAGCTGATCTGTGCACACTGCACATTTCATAAATATTTTAATGCAAAAATGTATGTTACCTCTAAAAGTTCACGTTTACAGAACAAAAGGACCAGACACCAGTGAAGTTGCAGTGTCCCTCACAGGATTCAACCTATGGGATGCTGAGAAGGATGCTGAGTCAGAGACATATTTATTACAGCATACTACTTAGTCCAACCTCAGACTGCCTTAATAGCAGTTTTATCAAAACTTGCTTCCAGGACAGCTTCAAAGAAAGCTGCTGATCCCTGATACTTCCAGTTCATCCAACCTCTCATACTATTTGGGTCAGGACTTTGTTTAAGCCTGCACTTGCACAACGCATAGACACTGGACAGCAAATGTTACAGATACCTTTTTAAAGACCGGCCAATATCTGTTGTGTTAATTATTTAAAATCGGCCTCTGGTCAGTTGACTATCTAAGCTGCAGCGGCTCTGCCTAGCTCAGCTGCCATGTTTCTCCGCCGGAGGACACGTGGGCTCTGCAGCTAGAACTGGCCAGCCAGAAACACCAGCCCTGCCACCCATGAGATGCCAGCATGGGAGATGGCTCTGCCAATCTTCCATGCTGTCTACACAAGGCTGGGCATTGCCCAGACCATCCCACCATCTACGCGGGCCCAGTAATAAAATGAGACTAATGCTTAAAGATTAATCAAAGGCTTTAAAAGTTTGGTAATGCTCAATAACAATATGCCCATATGAAGAGGGTTGTTTCCCAATTAGCTAACCTAAGTAAAAGTTGTTACCCATGACTGCTCGCCATACCTGCGTGGCTCTCCATTGCTCCTACA